TAAACTATCTAGGAGCCACTGAATATTTGGAAATCATAGGTGATGTGTTTCAACCTAGGGGAATAAATAAGGCTATTCAGTAAATAATAAGTAGGAAAGCAAAAGACAGAATCTTGAGAAAATAATAACTATAGGACAGAAAAAGAAATGGTGCAACAATCCTAATTCTCATTTGATTTGCACGGTAGCTAGGATCTTTGGGCTATAAATTCCACATCTGGCCCTGAGGTAAAGAGAGCTTTCCCAGAGACATTTTCAGCAGAATGTTAAGAAAGTAGGAAGCAGAGATGGAAAGGGTAGAAAAGCTTTGATAGATGGGCAGACATTATCCTGAATTGCCAGAGAGAACAGGACAAGGCCTGAATCCCATCAAGTGTCCCTCTGTTCTCCAGATGCAACATGGGGACAGCAAGTGGAACTGTCAGCTATAACAGCAGTTCTGGTGGGAGCAGCATTTGCAAGCTAGGAGGCACAGTGGCTGGGATGACTCATTCTTACATCTTGTTTTTCCTTATAAACCTAGAGAACTCAGCATTATTTCCCATCTGTCTTTGTTATGTTTCTCATCGCTGAAACAAAATACCCAACACCCAAAGTCAAGGGAGGAAAGTAGCTCAGTTTGTAGAGGTTCCAGTTCATTGTTGGCTCGTCCAAGACAGGGTGGCATGGCAGAAGGGCATCGAAGAGGAGAAACAGTTCATGGCAGGCAGAGGGAAAGAAGCAATGCAAAAGGTAGCAAGAAGCAAAAAGTAGGGATGCAGCAAGTAATAGCAGCGACAAGAGCAGCCCTTTTCCTGTCCCTTATATTCTATCCAGGGTACTCTGAGGGCAGGTAGCACTCACACCTAGGGAGAGGCAGCCTTAACCCTAACATCGAACCATGAGTCAATCCTAGCATCACATCCTTAATCCCAGCATCACACAGTCTAGATCCAGCCACCTCGGAAAAGCTCCACCTATGACCGCATGAGGCTTTTGAGGGACATCTAGACACGAGCCATAACACCATCTAAGGACTTCATCTCTAGTAAGATGGGGAAATTTGGGATGATAGTTTAAGTAGAAACTCCTGCTTTCTGTACATTGCTTTCTAAATTGAACCAAAACCTAGCAACTCAGTTCTATCCTAGACTCTGCAACCCAGTTTTCTGTACCATTTGTCATTCCATCTTTTGTTAGATTTCACTTAAAGCCCACTTAAGTCTGAGTATCTAACCACAGAATGGGCTCTGTGGCCAGCTAGGTGAGGAGAGTGCTCCCAGCTGAGCTGACAATGAATTTTTCCAAGTAAATAGAACCTCCTCAAATCATCTCAGGTAGTCATCGATTTTGCCCATTTTTTCCCTTAGGTATCTGTTACCAAAACAAAAATCCATGAATTCTATGCAATGTGTCTAAAATATAACCACAGAAATATGCTAATAGTTCATCATTGTTTTTATTACAACACATGTAATTCAGGGCAATGAAACTCAATTTAAAAATGAAAAGAAGAAAAATCATCATGGGATGTTTTGTATTTCTGTTTTCTTAGTTCTTATTCATGGCCCAAAGGTCATTTATATATATAATATATAAATATATTCTTTCATCAGTTGGCTGCATGGTGCTCTTCCCCAATCATTATAACCGATTTCAGATGGTGCTAGAAAATTATATTGACTCTGAACACCAAAAGAAATCAGTCATCCTCTAAGGGGTCACAGGAGGTTGTGAGTCATCATACATTTGTCCCTTTAACCTAGGCATGATGAAGTCTACAGTACAGGTAAGTGACACAGAAGGTTTATTAGACAAATAAGCACTGTACACAATTCTAGTAAGAAAGCATCCCATATAATTCACTTGTTATATATAATGCAAGAAGTGGGTCATCTACACCATGAGGCAGGTTCTCCTGGCTGTCTTGCTTTTGATTTCAAATTCTTCATTCATTTTTTCACTGTTGGCAGTGCAGGTGGCCTCCCCCAAGAACACTGATTTCAAATGGTGCTAGACAATCACTATTTAAATCTAAACCACCATATGAAACCAGCTTCCTGAAGAAGCTTTATGATCTTGTTTTCTTCAGAAGCTCTTATTATAAACTTGAGACAACCTACAAAGGGAAGGCTGCAACCTGGCTACGCATTATTCACTGAGTGGTCTACACAGAGCTTTATCAAATGTTACCTGTTCATACACCACTGTCACTCTATCTGGTGTTGCGCTGGGGGCTAGAATGCCTGTAACTCTGTTCTTAGTTGCTCAGAGGTTTGGTTTTATCACTTGGCAACAGTGCTGTGTCACTGGTGGAAGTCAAGAAAGATCCTTTACTGGAGTAAACCACCACAGCAGGAGAACCAGAGCTCGTCCTGGGGTCAAAGAGCCAGGGAGGGGTGGGATAACTACAAACAGCACAAACTCAGCAGATGCCCTGATAGAAACTGTAGGAAACACTTTTCTAAACCCAGAACTTTTACATGGGGTTAATTTTCTTTGATTCAAGGCATAACTGTGATTTTGGGATCCAAGGAAGACAGGAGACTAGATGAGAGGCAAAGTAAAACACTGATGATAATGAGATTCCAATGTTTTTTCCCAGAATTCTCAGAGGCATCTAAGAGTTTGGGAGTTTGTTAGCATCAGATTCTCCCCCTCTGCACTCAAAAGGTGGGGCTGTGTCTCTTAGTTCAAATAGTAACAACAGCAGCTACTACTACTATTATTATTATTATCAGTGGTGGTGGTACTGGGGATTGAACCCAGAGCTTTCATACTGAGCAACATCCTCAGCCCATTTTATTAATTTTGAGACAGGGTCTTGTTAAGTTGCTAAGTTGCCCAGTCTAGGCTCAAACTTTCAATCTTCCTGCCTCAGGCTCCTAGAGTGCTAAGGTTACAGGCCTATGCCACCAGGCCTGGCTGAAAAGTTACTTTTTTCCTGCAGTTCTTGTCTCCCTCCCAGTATAATTCTTGATATCATCTTATTAGACAGCTTACTGACATTCTCTTTAAGGTTCTAGGAATCCAAGGAAGATTCTTAGGTGATACTTAACATGTTCTTTAAAAAAAAAATAGTTAGGGGGCCAGGGATTTAGCTCAGTGGTTCCGCCGCTTGCCTTGCAAGTGCAAGGACCCGAGTTCGATCCCTGATACCAAAACAACAACAACAACAACAAAAAAAAAACAGAGAAAATGTCAGATACATAACTCTGAATGTTAATAAAATGAATTCCTGGCCGGGGATTTAGCTTGTTGGCACTGTGCCTGCCTTGGAAGCACAAGGTCCTGAGTTCGATCCCTGGTATGGGGTGGGGAGATGAATTCCTAAATTTGTACCACCACCAAAATTCAACAACTGTTCATTTTTGCCATTTTATTGCTATTAGCTATATACTATTACATATAATCTATGTTTTTTTTTTTTTGCGGCACTGTTTGAAAATAAATTGACAATCACCTAGATATTCTGCTTCTAACTGCTAAGCATGTCTTAAACCTTATTCCTTCAAAGATTATCAATTCCTTAATCAACTGTCCCCTTTTTCCAAAAAGTTAGCTTGTTGTTTTTTTTTCAAACACAGATCACAACAACACTAAGACTCTCTGGTCTTTTTTAGATTTACCCTTCCCTCCATTTTTTTTTTTTTTTTTTTGGTACCAGGGATTGAACTCAGGACTCTGTGCTTTTGAGGCAGGCGGCAAAACCACTGCGCTAAATCCCTGGCTCTCCATTTTTTATAATAATAATACCATCACCTTATGAAACGCAGCTCCTAACCCTGGATATAACATTCACTTACCTGTTCTCTTGGCTTAAATCAATTTAACAAACTTTAACTTTCCTGGTATACCATCCTCATTGTACGATTATATTGGGAGTATTGGGCAATCTTTTTATGACAGTGTGCCTGTAGCTCATGATTTCAAGTGAGGTCAGAGGATGCTAACCAGCCGGGAGGTATGGGCTGTTTGGCTCATGTCTGGTAGCACTTTACTCCTGAAAGACTTGGCAATTCCAACACACACCCATCCTTTATCATGAAATAGTACCCCAAGCACACAGCTGTTGCTGCTCAGCTGGCTTCTTCATCTCTGTAGGTAAGGACTGGGGCTCCATGGGTTTCTGAGATGGGCAGCTGTGAGAGATCATAGACTGCAAAGAAATGCACAGATAGGCAGTGAAATATGTCAAATGGATTGTAAAGATAAGCATTTAAACCTGAAAAGGTGCCAGGATAGAAGAATCCTTGGAATTCTCAAGTTTAACTATTCTCCTAATTTTATGATTCATGTAAAGGATCCACTGCTGCTCTCTGCAAATGCTAATGTATTTCACTGTATCAATGACTCAAGAATATAAGAAGCAGCCAGATTATTCTCATCAGTTAAAAAAACCCAAATCTGGAACAAAAAGGTCTACTTATTTTCCACAATTGACTAGGTTTTTGCCTACTGATCCTCAGAAATTTTTTCAAATGATTGACACTTTAGTTAAAATGGATAAGTTTTTCCCTGAAAATGAACTTTTTTCTTTTACTCATATCTGTTAAGATCAAATGTATCTTATATACCACATACGTTTATACGGACCCAGGCACACAAACTTCTACCATATATACAGCTGTGTCCGTCACAGAGGCAGATACATTTTCTAAGTTAGATTTCTACGTTAGAGGTGTGATTGAAGAATATGGTTAATGTTAAATTTTAAAAAAATCATTACAGTAAAGAACACATTGCTATTAACCCCACTCAAAATACTGTTCCTCACTTTTAACACACTTATTTCACCATTTTTACCACTTTCTGAAGCAGTTCTGGAGGTTGTCTTTTGTCAGTGTTTTTAGTCACGCTGTTGTGGCTGCCTTCATGTCCTGAACTGATTCAAAACATTTACCTTTCACAGTCATTCTGACTTTGGGGAGGAGCGAGAAGTTGCATGGCACCAGATGCTATGAATAAGGTGGATGAGGACACACTAATATATATATATTTATCTATCTATCTATCTATCTATCTATCTATCTATTTATTTATTGGTACTGGGGATTGAACTCAGGACCTTTCACTTGCCAGGCAGGTGGAAGAACCACTGAGCCAAATCCCCAGCCCACACTGTAATGTTTTTATGAGCCTGCCTTAACTGCACTTGGCAGCAGCATTGACCGTATTTTTCATCATACCTCATAAAAACACACATGACAGAGACTTCCAGAACTGCTTCAGGAAGTGGCAAGAATAACGGGATAAGTGTATTGGAAGTAAGAGAACAAATTTTGAAGGGGATTAATGGCAATGTGTCTTTTACTGTAATAAAAAATTTAAACATCTACAGTATATTCCGATCATCCTGTATGCCTCTCAAAATTCAGCAGAATAACAGCAACTATATTCTTTTGTGTCTACATCTCTTTATATTAGTCCAGTATGACAATGCATTTTCAGCAAAGCCTTAATGCAAACATCATTTAGTATTCTTTTCCACAGTACGTTTCAAGTACTTGGGGATGACCTGGGATGCTCAGTTAAGTGGCTGTAAAGTTACTTAAACACATTAAGACAGAGATCTCGAGTGTGGGGCCCTGTTTCCTAAAAACAGGTCTGCAGGGGGAGGCTGGCTACCAAGTTAATACCAAGTTAAAGAAAAATCTCTATGTTGTTCTCTGGAAGGAAAATGGAAACACTAATTGATAAATTAATAGGAACTCATCCATTCTCTTTCCAGGACACATACAGGAGAACAGAGTGACAGCAAGAGGTGTGGAATTACTTGCTGAGTCTCATCATTGAAAGGACAACCCTGCTGGGACCTTATCCCTCATTTCCAACAATCAACTTTTAGGCCAGGATACAGTAAGCCTGAATTTCTGTAACTCAGGATGTTCCTATTTTTAACCAGCAACAACTTTAAGGTATTGCAACATTAAAACTCTTTCTCACATAGAACATCATTTAAAATTGCAGACTCTCCTCCCCAGCATTAGTCATCTTCCAAGAACAGAATCCTCCTGTCTCTTGGCCCACAGGCCAAGAGAATGTGTCTCCATTTCAAAACACAGTCCATACTGCCTCTGTTTTTCAGGCAGCTGCCCTTCTTATTACGTTTTTCTTCCAGATCTGACAGTGGGATTGAGGCTGGGATGTGAGTCACTAACTCACAGAAGGACTCCTGTGTGCCAAAGCCCAACAGTGGACTTGTGTCGTCTCCCTTGATTATGAGAGGCCTGCCCATTTTTTTGAGAGCAAACTGGATTAAGGTAATTTCCCTCAGGGTTTGGGATTTCACAAAGAGAGCTATGTCTACCTCCGACATCTCTTTAAAAACACAGCTTCAAAATGTGAGGGACATTAGAACACAACTGTCCTAATTTGAGTGTTCAGGCCAGCCTAAGGCACAACTGCCATTGCTATGGTGATGGACCACACAACCATAAATGTCTGATCTGCCTACCTGGATGCCTTCAGCAAACAGGAAGACGAACAGGCAGCACAGGATCTGGCTGTGCTGCTTACTGCTCTGTAATCCTGGGCTAATCATTTAATTTCTCTGATCCTTTGGGTCTTGATGTTGGGAATAGAGGTACAAAATCCTGTAACACAGTGGTTGGTAGAGTTGTGCATAATGCAGTATATGAAATAATCAGTGATTTTTAAAGCATTCACAAGTATCTAAGGTTTTATTGGGTGGGCTGGAATTCTGTGGAGTGTATTCTCAGGGTGAAGGCCAGTAAGTAAGTGGATGCAGAGGGCACTCTGAAAAATAATCATAACTTCCATCTTTGGAATCCTTGTTCTGTGAAAAAATACTATGCTATGTGCTTTAAGTACACTTTCTTTACATTCACTACCACCTAACATGGTTGGTGCATCCAGATGAGAGATGAGGGAGAGAGGGCAAATGACATGCTCTTGATCCTACAGCTTTTAAGTGGCAAGACTGCAGCTCAGACCCTGGTCTGCCTGATCCTGACAGAGCCCAGGCTCATAGCCATCGCTCTCTGCTGCCTGGTGCCTTATGAAAACTAACAGCTCATCTTCACATGGCCACAGTCGGCACCAACTGTGCCAATATGCATCTAAGCAAACCACTAACATCAGTACTAGTGCTGATTAGCAGAACCCAAAGAAACACCAAGAAGAGGAGAAAACTTAGAAATCAGTGAAATTTGGCTCACATTGAATGATCAGAAGCCCTGGACACTCAGCTATACTTCTTACTTGCACTGTGATCTTAACCAAATCCCATCTTCCCTACAGCCTTGTTTCTCTGCTAACCTTAATGAAGCTCAAGGCCAAACAGCACTGTGACTATTCCCACAGATCATGCAAGGTGCTCAAGTACTGTCTCTACGACCTACCTGGCTGTTTATCCTCCTAAGTTTCCCTTTTCTATGAGGTAGTGTGGTGAGAGAAGGGAAATGCAGACTTCTGGAGCCAGAGCTCCCCGAACAACCTTGGGTAAATGTTATCTTTCTGTACCTCAGTCTCCTCATCTGTAAAGCAAAAATTATATAAGGTTGTTACAAGGATTAAGCCAGGTAAACAGAACAGCAGCATGATGTAAACACTCAGTAAATCATAGCTAGGATAACAAAAATAATACATTACTTTTTCCTTCAGCACATGGTAAAGTGATATGTGGCTAAAAGATCTGCTACAACTTGTAAATGGAAAGGTCTCCCTGCTCTATACTGATACAGGTCAGGGTAGCTGACTGCTGAGGCGTCTGACCAAAATTAAAATCTGACAAGATCCCCTTGAGTATACGAATGCCACCTCCCATCTACATTTGCTGAAATGAGGATCTTTTATATTTTCTCCTGCTTCTCTCCCCATTGTAAGACTTGCATGTGGGACCTTTACCATTGCTTTTAAGTAGGAGTTCATATTATATACTTTTCCTGGTGGTAAATAAGTTTAAGCAGAGTAGAGATTAAACACAGATGTTCACTTTAAAAACTGTACTGGGGAATCATCCAGGACCAAAATACAACAAAGCTCCTTTGAGGGTGGATTGTGAGTACAAACCTCTACTTACACAGGGTGTAAAGGCAATCCGTTGGCAGGTATTTCCCAGGTGCACAAATCCTCAGGAGGCATTTGTTCAGAAAAGCAGCACCTGGAATTTAAATGATAGCATGAACCCCTGGGACATCTCCCAGAACAACAGCAGAAGTGGAAGTCAGCAGGTTACTCCACCAGTGTCATCAACCAATATACTTTTGAGCATCTTCTTCTTCCTGCCTAAGTCACTTGGGCTGGGAAAGTTTCTATACAGTGGGTGACATCTGCCTCCTCATGCCTGTGTTCACTCTGTACTGGAGACAACACAAGGTGTGGCTGTTGCTAAGGAAATTGCCTGCCGATACACGAGGCCATGAGATTAGCAGATTGGCAGGGTTTGCTTGGCAAGATGTCTTAGGAAATAAAAGCCTGGTATAAAACCTATATATCCAATCACAGGAGAAACACATGAAAGCAGCCTACACAGACGATAAGAGGAGGTTTCTATTTTCAAAACTGACTTTGCAGCCTGCTGTTTTAGCAGCATGGACTGCAGACAGCCTAGCTGCAGAAGGGGAAAAGGGTAAATGCCCCTGCAAATACCATCTTCCTCGACTGCTTCAGAATCAGGTGGAGGGCAATTTGGAATTTAAGACACATTACAGTGTCTCCTACACAGTCTAACTTGCAAGCTGGAATGCATCTTTCACCACATCACAAGAGAGGAAGCCAACACGTCAAGGTCTTCATTTCTTAAAACAGATTTTTCAAGTCAACACCTTAGTCATCCTTGTGACATGAGCTGCCATAGCAACTGGGAGTGCCTTCATAGTAGCTCCAAAGGGCACCTTACAAAGGATGTGAAGCTCAGAAAATTCCTGTTTTATTCAATAAGAGGCTGAGTGACTCGGCAGTCTGGTGAAGAAAACTCAGTCCTGTCAAGTTACCACCTATTGGAATTGCTAAATTAATGATTAAAATGGTGCTGAGGCCACAAAGCACGCCCACTACTAGCCAGTGGGGACAACAGGGTCCAGGAATGTGGGATGGAACAGACTGGTGGAGAGGATGGGCTGTGGTTGACAGGTGTTAACCTTTAAAGCAAGTACTACTTTTAACACATTCTTTGGTGCCTGGAAAGCTCAAGCACTTCAAGATGACATCCACACAGGAATGTAGTACACTGGACAGGTTCTTGAGAATTGGGGTTCAAATCCACAAGGATCTTGCCAAATGGAAAAAAAGTGGCCAGGAAAAGCAAATCTTAAAAAATACCAGGCAAAGAAGTACACATTAGGGATTAGGGTCTTTCATCTTCTCTGCCACTCCCCTAGGGAACCTGGGAGCCTGGTGACTGCTACACCCGCAGCCTCTCAACATTCAGGTATCTGCTTAGGAGGCTCAGTGGAGAAAGCTATACAAGGCAGTGACAAGTGCCCTGCAGCCTCCCACTGGCACCCGTCTTGCCTGTGAGCTTGTGACTTCCACAGCAGCACCTGGAGGCTCTAATCTAAGGGCAGAAGTGAGGCCAAGGCTTGTACCATCCCTACACTGGAGGAGAGCAACGAGTGCAGCCTAGCCAACAAGCTTTCCTGCTTCCTCTGTTAAGAAGCAATGGGTCAATGTAGCCTGTAACAGATGGCCACCAAAAGATCTCTTCTTGGGTGCACAACAAACCCTGGAACCTCTGTAGACTTGGAAGTTTTTATTTTTAATGGTCCTATAGGTTGAACCCACAGCCTTCACACTGAGCTCCTTCATCCCCAACCCTTTATTTTGAGACAAGGTCTTGCTGGTCACTAAAAGCTACCCACATTGGGTTCAAACTTGTGAGCTTCCAAGCCTCGGCCCCCCAGAGTGCTGGGATTACAGGCACGTGCCATCATGCCTGGCTTACCCCTGTCCATCTCTGCTTAGAATCAAATCTACAAGTAAGTCTTTTCTTTATGTTTGTCCTTCCTCATGAATGAATATACTCATATGCTGCCTTTCACTGTCCAGTGCTCCTAAGTGATCTCCCATTTAATGGCACTTTTAAATTGGGATCAGAAAGACAAGCAGAGTAAGCTTTGGGATCAGAAAGAACTGGACTTCTATTTCTCCTGTGCAGCTTCTTATGCAGCCTGGAGCAAGCTGCTTAACCCTTTCTGGACTTTAGTTTTTCCATGTATAAAGTGGAAAGAACATAGGTTTTAACAATAAATCTGAAGAGTTAACATAATTAAAAACCAAACTTACATGGTAGTTGGAAAGCTTTCATGAAATATTAATTCCCTTCCCAGCCACATTCCTCCCTGCACGAGTATAGCACATCTAACATCTTGGATAGATAGCCTTTATAGTCAGTATGTTAAAAGTGGTGTGAAAGACTAAAGATTGAGCATCAGGGAAGAGAGGCTGTGGGGATGTCTGGCAGTGATAACCTTTTAGAGACGAGTGCCCAAACTGCAACCCAAAACCCACTTATTTATTGCAGAGTGCCAATACTGCAATTAAACCTAAATATGGAGGTTTTTGTTTAGAAAAACCAACTTATACATTAACATCTTTTGTCTTAAAAAAAAAATACCGTGCATGTGCATGCCATGGGTTCGTCACCCCTGGTCTAGGGTCTTCTCTGGACATAAAGGGCAGGACAAAGAGTGTCAGAACAAGGAATCAAGACTCAGAGAAAAGACTGACAAGGTCTGAACCTGGGATCATATTACTCCAACCTATCTACTCATTCACCACTGAGTCACTGCATTTACAATACGCCGGCAGCCACAAGAGGCGTGGACGATAGGAGAGCAAACTGGAGAGATGAAGCCAGTGCAAGTAAACACATCTAACAGAGGACGACAGAGAAGCAGGTACCCAATACAAACACAGAATGTAACGGGGGCAAACACAGGAGGCACCAGTCCTCTGAGCCAGGTGCACAGGTGGGCATATCATGTCTTTTGTGGACAGATTAGCCAATAGCAATGTGGTAGGGCCACAAGCGACTTTTCCACATGATCGGTAACAGCAGACCTACAATCAACCGGTACGTATTCCCTGATCATATTGTAAAAGCCCAGCACTGTGCTAGACACAGCTAGAAAGATACGTAAGTAAATGACCTGGATATGTTTGTATGTGACCTGGTAATCTAACTGTGGGACAAAATTTACTGCAGAGGAATGAGGGGGGGGGGGAAGGGTACTGGAGAGTGTCACATTGGTGAAGAGCATGACAGTGAGGGACCAGATAGGATGGGATGGGCCTGGGTGGGCTATGGATGAGTCAGAAGATGCTTCTCAGAGGACAAGGGTCTGATGGGCTCCCCAGAGGCAGCCTGGGCAGGTGGGACAAGGAGGGGACAGTATAGCAGTGAAGATCATGGGGAATGAGGGAAAAGCCACTGCCTTTGGGAAGTCAGACAGCAAGGGATCTGAAATGACACAGCACAGAAGGGGCCAGAGGGCCAGGCTCCACCTCAGGATTAAAGTGAGCTGGGAATGGGGGTAGGGGTGGAGATTGAGAAGAAATATGCATCTTAACAGATGGCTGTAAGGATCTAGTCCATGGGAAGTATAGGGCAGTGAGTGAGACCCAGTGCCAGCCTCCGTGGGGTCCACAGGCCGGCAGCGAATGCTGATCATTATCAATACAATGGGATGAACATTTGGATGAGGGAGCCACAGGTAGGGGACCAGACTCTGGGATCAGGATACACTTTCCTGAGCACTTGCTGTTCTGTCTCCACAGAGGTAAGGGACAGAGGAAATGGGAGGGAGTAGTTCCTTCCAAGTATCCCAGAGTGGCTGGCATCTCCTTTTTCAGGACAGCTTAAAAGAACAGGGCATATATTGGTGCCCATTTGTCAGGAGTGAGGTTTTGGCTAGAAATGGACAACAGATTACATGACCCTTCATGTACTTCATGCCCTTCAGCTCAACCTGAGTCCCCTTCCAACTCGTTTAAGAAAGCAAGTGGAAGACAATCACGTACATCATGGGACCCTGAATCATACTCACACTGAAGGTGAACCACAGCAGAGATTTTCAAGGCACAGCTAAGACACAGGAGCTTCCCCTTGTAACTGCTCAAGCACGCAGGAAATGTGGCCTGGTAACAGAACAGCTGAGGAAGGGGAAGAAGCAGGGGCTTAGGAGCATTCTCAGGAGATGGATATTGGTAAGGCCCTCGCTCAAAGAGAGAAACAACAAGGGGTGGGGAGGAGCTCTTCTAACGTAAGTTACAAAAAACCCTAAGAAGAAAACAACATATGTTGCTTTCTATTCCATTTTCTCAGCTTACTTATAGTTTTCCTTGAGGAAAATTTTATCCATGGCTTAATTTTGAAATATTTGCTAGACTGTAATTTTTTAAGTATACACAGATGTAACAAAGTACTACGAAGATGACAAAATCAAAGGAGAGTTCAGTTCACCACCACCACTGTGACTCCATTTCACTCCTGTGAGGAAAAGGCACTCATGTAGACAACACAGGAAAATAGCTGCCTCCTGGGAAGAAGGACCCAGGGAAGCCCTTGGATACATTATGGACACTTTTATGGCCCTAATCTAGCCAAGGTCTTCTACTTAAAGCAGTTAGTATCTCTTTGAAATAATCACCTATCTTAGAAATGAAGGCGGAAAACAGATGCTGGGGGTGGTATTGTATTGTTATTTATCTCTAAAATCAGGCTAGAAGCTAAACAGGATAATTTCTCCTCCACCTTTGTTTCCATGGATGGGGAGGAGGGGAAAAATAGCGCTGATAATTGCCATACTGAGGACCAGTTCCTTCTATAAAAGACCAACTGGCAATGCTTACCTTGATACTTATTACATGTTTGGTTTACATTCCCAGAGGAAAACATGCTTTGGATTGATCACACCATCCAAATAACAAAGCAATGGATGACAATTGCTTAAATGTCACCCAGAAGGAACAGGTATAGGATTTACTCCTCAGCAGGGCTCCCGAGGCTGAGAGATCTAGGTGCAAATCTCCTAAGTCTTTGATTTTTTCTCCTTCGAGAAGTTAGTTTATCTCTTTACACAAGTGAAGGCAGCACCTTCACCTTACGTGCTCATGGAGAAAGTTGCTGTAGAGTGCCAGTGTGCGGTGGGTACCGAGTAC